GATGTGAATTCTGCTAGCAGGAGCCGCTGCCCTGCCGAGCGAGGGGAAGCAGGCTTTCGTGGCGGGGCCATGTCTTGGTATCTTGATAATTTCAAGTTAGAGCTGGTACTGAGGGGGTTTTGGAGGTGATGGGCAGTATTTCGTGCACGACAGAAAACCAATATCCTATTTGGTTATGGTCATTAAAGAGTTTGGCACGACCCAAAGGGTGTTGTGCTCTGCATATACCTAAAGTGGAAGCACTTAATTTCTGCTGACTTAAATTGCCCACTATTGAACCCAGCATACTTCAGTTCTGTCCTAAATGGACATTCAGGGGCTGTATGCTCTCTATCAGCTGCCACGTTGTGGGTTGAAGCAGAAGGGACCCTAACTTGTGGGGCAAACTGGAACAAGCTGGAAGTATAAGGTGGCACAGGTGAGCTGGGAGGGCAGCCCCAACCCTAACTGCACTTTGATTTAAGGCCTCTGTCCTCTGCGACCTGCTCCTGCTGCATTTTCTCCAAGGACGGGACTATTACAAGCAGAAGAAATTCAAATATGCAGAACAGGAGCCTGTAAGTAATAGCGCGTCCTTCCCCTGCAGAGGATCTTGCGTGTGTGAGTGTGGATGTGTGCATGGGTAATGATGCTGTAACAGAAACAACATTTATACAATATATTGAGGAGCAACCAGGCGCCTTCCTGAGCTAGTGGGAACCCCGAGCCCTTGGGACTGTCAGAGATTGGGATCCATGAATCTCCTCTCCAAAATTATAGAGATCTTCTGTGTGACTCACTATTAATAGCTTTATTCCCTCTCTTTATCCCCAGATATTCCAGTATCTGTTAACACTTGCATTGCTTTAAGGGAAGCAGATACATACCAGTGCTTTAGCAAACTGGAAAATGTCCCCTTTTCTGCTTTCTGAGAACATCTCCGTGACCGTGGGATGTTTCGTGGCCTTTCATAGGACATGAAAACAGCTCCCCTCAAATTCATTTGAAATTATGCTTATGCATTGGGGGTTAGAAGTTGCGGTTGAACCACATTTTTCCCTGGCATTAGAAAGGGGCAGGTCTGTAAAAGAATCATCGTTTTGTCTCATTTAACCCCCAGTCGAAGTCGCATAAGAAGCAAAAGGAGCTGGACAACACGCAGTGCGAGGTGAGTGGTGTTTCCCCAGCCCTGCTAGCGCACGGCTGGCAGGGGTGAGGGCTATGGGTGTCGGGGCTATCCCAAGGGAAGGCAGCAGGGCTCCAGGGAGGCATGGAGAAAAGCTGAGCTGTGGGTTGTCACGTCTAACCTGGGGACAGCATTTCCCAGGACAGGCAGGCTCGCGGGGCAGCACTGGGTGCAGGATGTGGGATTGACATTGCAGCTTCGATGGCAGCATCGCTGGAAGAGGGGCAGTGGGTGGCAAGACACCAGAAATCACTATGCACCTCTCTCTTTTGGCAGAATCCACACTGACTGACGAACCTGCACCCTCTTCCTCCTCCTCTTCCTCTCCTAAAACATGGTCATCATCCCCTGTCACCAGCCTGCACTAGCTCCAAGGCCAGCAGAAGCAGTGTCCAACACTGGCTCATGGGAACGTGGTGCCCTGCGGCCAGGGCAGGGTCCGGCCGGCCGGGCGCTCTGCCTCTGGTGGGACACGCTGTGATGCTGTGGGTGGGTTAAACTCATGTTGGGCATCAAGGAGCCACTAATGCACCCTCGGGGCCATCCACCAGCCCTGCTGCAGGGCACCAGGGTCTGCCACCTTTGCACACCCCAAGGGCTCCCACTGCGCCCTGCCTGGTGTGCCAGGGCTGTGCCTGGGCATCCCGCACCCTGAAGCCCCTGGGGAGAGCATCGCTGCCTCTCCTTCCCCAGCAGCACCCTTGGACAGCTCCAAACTGAGGAGAGGAAGGGGAGGGAAGGAGAGCTGGCAAGAACCATGCCCAGTCCCTCAGCATGGGAGAAAAATGGTTATTTTGTAAGGATGTATTTTATTAAAAAAAATAAACCTTTAGTTTTTCTACTACATCCCTTTGCGGTGCCCGTGCTTGCCCCGGGGCACGGGGTAGCAGTGCTTTTCGGCACTGGGGGGTTTGTGTATGCAAAGCAATCCTGTAAATCTGGCTGGAGCATGGGGCCTCTGCGATGGGCTCAGTGCAGGCTCCCCCGGGCTCTGCCTTCCCATGCAGGGCCCCTGGGCCTCCGGCCATGAGCAGGGGTTGTTATCAGGGTTGTCACTTGGGTTTCCTCCTCAGACAGGCTGGCTGGCGGAGAGCGCTGGCGCACTGCCGGCCATCAAGAACGGCTGCCCTGTGCCAGCTCTGCCTCCTGCTGCTCACACCGGTCAGTATTAGCCGGTCAGAATTGACCTTCTCGGCAGTAGCCTCACAAACCAGCTCTTTGCACCCAGGAGCAAAACCTCCCCTCTCTGCTAGAAGATTTGCACTGCTCAGCGTGTGCAGTTGGACATGATGAAGTACACCCAAGCCCCACATGGCTACGAGCAGCCCCTGCCTGGTGCTGCTGGCTCTGTTCGGTTCTCCAGGATGCATCAGCACAGACTTTCTACACAGTCTCTTTCTGAATGTCGTTTTGGTTTTGAACACAGCGGAGGAAATTTTGCCTTGGTCATTTCAAAACGGGATCCCAGCTGCCGTGGGAAAGTCAGTAAAGAAGCTATAGGGATTGCTCTGCCTGTGGCGGCAATGCCGCTGACTGGGGTGGGGAGCGTGGGCTAGCAGCCTGCAGGATGGACGCACCGCGCTGGGCTCGTAGGGACACGGAGGCACGTGCCACAAAGAGTTGCAGGTGATACTTGGTCATAAGCTCAACAAACATTTCAAGCCATACATTCCCTGTGGGAAGATTCTTTGCTCTCAGAAGGATGCATCAGCTTTCACAGGCAGGGGTTTTTTTTTAAGATTATCCATTTGGATAACTTTTTCACCCTTTCTCATGATGCTGTCCTGGGTAAGATGCAGAGATGAGGGTGAGGGAAAGCTCCCTGGTCTCTGGAGGAGTTAGTGCCTTCTTAGAGGGTGCTGAGGACATGGGGCTGGTGGCATCCCCACGCAGCATGCGCTCTCCTCGAGGTGCGCAGCGCTCATCGAGGTGAAGAACTGCACACGTCTAATGCGACAGTGCAGCTCTCCAGCAAGCTGCAACCAGCAGAGGGGACTGGAAGACCGTTTCACACATACATGCCTGGGGAAAATTCAGTTGCCAAAGATTAGAGGCAGTGAAGTGAGAGTGTTCAGGTAACCTTTCGCACCCACTTAAACCGGGTCAATCTCCAGTCATAACTTAAAATAACCAGTGGAAGGCTGCAGGTGGAGCAGGGGGTTGTTTCTGCCTGCTTAATCTTTCAAGCTGCTTGTAATGCAAAGTCCCTATTCTTTCCTAGGAAGTATTAAAAGGTGGAATAAGAAATTAGGAAAAATGCTACTTGTAAATGATCCCCTGTAGTTGCTATTCAAAACCTCTGAGCTGGGATCCCTGAAAGTCCCAAGACTGCTTTAAAAATCATGGGAGGGTTTATTTTCATCTCTTTGCTTGCTTTTTAAAATACACAGTCTTTGGGGTTCCTTTTCTTTGCTTTTCATTCACTAACCATCTCTGCAACCAGCAGAATGAGATATTGTAATTTTAATTCTTTCACCAAAACAAGCTCCTCCACTAAGACGGGGCCCCCAGGACCCGTGGCTTTCGGATGGGTACCATGCAGAGCGATAGCTGTCTGGAGGAAACTGAGCAAGTGTCTAATTTTAACATACGCTGGTACCCTCTGCAGTATGAAAAGGCAGGGAAAGCCCATGGCAATTGTTTCCATCCTTCCTTTTGCCAGAGGGGCTGGAGCTGGTGCTCTGGGGCGGGAGAGCAAGGAGGAAGGGCTGGTCTGCTCAGCTCCACACGCTTCGGTGCAAGTCCCAGTGGGGAGGTGTGGGTGACCGTCCTCCTCTCCTCTTAGTTTGACCTACTCTTGCTCTAAGGGTCAGGGAGGAATTTCCTGTGCTTGGCATCTATCATGGCCAGAAAGCGACTGTATTTGAAGCTGTAAAAATGCAGCCAGCGTATGCTGGTGCTCTCTGACCTCTGAGCAGCGAGCCAAAGTGTCACAGAAACCCAAAGGGATTTGGTCATCATGCGAAGACCCCTTCAGTGACAGTTTGCTGTGTTGCTTCCTGTTTATGCCGTGACAATTGAGGGTTGGGGTTTGTTTTTTTAAACTCGTTTAATTGCGTTTTGCTTTTTATACAGTTTAACTAATAGAAAAGTACTAACAGAAAAGGAACCTTCAGCAAATCAAATACTGCCTCCAGTCCTTTCAGCCAGAAAACCCACAAGAAAAAATATATATTCTCCAGCTAATCCCTGATCATTACAAACAGCACTAACAAGCCCTCGTATGTGATGTTGTCAGTATAGGCTCTAAGGGACTAGCAGAGGACTCTTGTCCGATCATTAGTGTCAGATGGAGAGAGCAAGCCATGAGTGCAGTGTTATTATTCCCATTTTACAGAAACCGAGACACAAGCAAATAATTTCTGAATGTGTATGCAAATGTGGTGAGCAGATTCTGCCTCTGAACAGTTATTATTATCTGTGAAGGTTACCAGGTTGGACCTGGTACAAATATATCTTTTCATCCCCTCAGGCGTGGTTACTCTGAAAGAAATCAAGTGGCACAGATATTCCAGAAGAGCAATTGCAGAAAAACTTATTCTGCAGTAATTATGCTGGTTAGTGATGCTGCAGAGATGAGGAATTATATTTCAACCTCTGCAGAGCGGGCAACGTTTAATCATTATGTTTGTGCACAATTCCCAGCACAATGAGGCCCTGATTTCCACCTGGTCCTTCCAGACGCTATAACAATGCAAATTAAAAACGAATAACACTAACGAAAGAGATGGCTCCTTCCCTCTGCAATCTCTCCTATCTCTAAGCCCACTCATTCCTTCTACGGCACAGCAGACTCCCTTATGTTTTTAACCCAGTCCTCCACTTATGACATTCTTGGGTTTTCCCCTAAAAAAGCACCTGCTTTTCTGGTTACACTAATTCCCTTTCTCTTTTGATGTGGGAGCGTGTTTTCCGTCGGATAAATCCTCTAGCTGACACACAGTGAAAGACGGACAGGAACATTTATGTCCTCCCAGCTCTAAATGATGCTTTTATTTCCTTCTGTCCCAAAGACATGCATTCTCGGGGCAGATTGTGCTGGGTGGCGAAAGGACCCTCTCTGCCGTTACAGCCTCGACATCTGCAGCTCAGCCTGCAGCCATACTCCCGGTGACAGTACGGTTGTTGCAGCTCATTTTCGCTGCTGCCAGCTCTGTATTAATTATGCCACACTCTTTTCTTTTGCTTTCTTTGGTGAAGTGCTCTCTCCTTCTGTTATCTATTTCTAATTGCTTTATTGCCTTATTTTAGAAAGCATAAAAGTCAAAAGTGTCCAAATGGATTCTGAATATAGCAACAGCGAATCAACGGATGGGCTCTTTTGCAGGGGTGAATCAGGATCGTTCCAGTTAACAGAGCTCTGGATACCAGTACCAAGCACGGATCCTGCTCAGCTTTATGGCACCACAAAGAGATTTGGCCGAAGCTATTCTTAAAAGAAATGATGGCTTCAACTCTTTTTTTGTCTAAACATACTTGTGAAACGCCTCAGGAAATGTAAAGTCTTCCTCTCATGACTGTAACTCAAGGACGGGTTAAATACACACCCTCCCAGTTCTTGTACCCAGAAAACACGTGGGAAATAACAGTCACCAACCAACTACATCCAATCATTATTGAACAGAAATACCAAAGTCTTATTTTAACGTTGTTATAGCCATCGTGGTCTAAGCATCAGAGAGACATTCTTTGGGGCTCTTTTTGCACTCATCATTGCTACTTTGCAGTGTAATCACCTGTGTATTATGAAAAGGGAAACTGAGGCACATGATTTGGGGTTTTTTTTGTTTTCTGGAAGAAACAGCAGCTTGTGACTGAGACTAGCTAACCAGGTTATTTCATTAGGTCAAGTGCTAGCAGTCTTTGCCAGAGGCAACAGTTTCAAACCCTGATGCTGGTGCTAAAGCTGTGCTTAAGACGTCACGGGTGATTTAAACTGCTTGATGCTGAAGGAGACAGGTCTTTAGGGGACAATCCTCAGC